TATATATATGTATAAATATGTTTTTTCTTTTTTCCTCTATATGCATAGAGTTAACAGAACCTTGTGATTTTTATTCCTACAGCAGTACAATCGCTCTAGCTGGACCTCTGCCTCTTTTCAAGAAGGAAACCCTGCCTAAACCTTCGAGCCCTGCCTTCTCCCTTGCTGTATGTTTAGAGCATGTGACAGTTAATGGCTTGTTTGTAAAATGCCGGCATACTCTGCAAAGAGTAAATATCCTTTTCCCCAGTGAATGAATAACCCCCTCCCCCCCATTTATTTACTTTTCTGGGGTGTTACGGGCTTGTTCTAATTCCTTCTTTGTGAGATGGATTTGGTTCAGGTTCTTAATGTTGCAATTCATCACTAAGCTCTTTCACCATAAGTCCCCAGCTTTTTTTGGCGGGGCGGGGGGGAGGGTAAAGCTGTCAGATTGGCTGTAGCAGATCTATTGCGAGAGAAAGGACAGGCTCAGGGAAAGAAAAAGCTTAAGAAAAACAGAGTGATCAAATGGGAAAAAAAAATGACACCAGTTAAACTAGAAATTAAATCCGATTGATAGAAAGTTCAAGTACAAATTTAAAATGCCAACTATTTGATTATTTAGAACTTCATGGCTTCTTTTCTGAACAGGCTAGTGAAAGGAGAATAAACATCACTTTTACTGTTATTTGGAAAATAATAAGCAAGTTGTCATGTCTGAAGAAATGCTCATTGTCTTCATCCTTTGAAACAGTCCAGTGTAAATCACAGGTGCTCCCATGAAAAGGAGCATGGAGAGTCTAGCAACCATAAGAACGTGGCTCGTGTGGGAAGCTCCAGTTAAATTGGAGCCTTTTATATTTATACAGGTAATTTGTTTTCTCACCAAACACAGATATGCTGGGTGGGAAGGCTGAAAGAATTTTCACCATTGCAGGAGATAATCACCGCAGTTAAGTTTTGAATTTAATACTAAAAGAAATCAGTTTAATCAGGGAAGGAGTCACCTGCAAAGTCTGATGACAGATAAGCAAAACAACAGCTTGCAACCAAAATCAGCGGCTTAGCACAAACCAGCAAAGATGTAGGTAGCCCTTGCAGAGGAGCTCAGACCAGGCCACGGTCTGCAGCAGCGCTGCGTTCAGTGAGGTGGTGGTTAGAAATGGGCCTCACCCGGCATCCTGGTCTGAGCTCAGGGGCAATTCAGATTCAGCAGGTATTTTAGCATGCTTAAACCTGTGAATACAGTTAAATATCACTTGTGGTAAAATTAGGATTTGACTCTGCAACTAATAGATTAGTACATCTTTTTTGCATCCTCTAGAAGGTAAAAGAACACTAGACAAAATCAGGGCCTTGTTTCAGGCAATGAAGATATGACTTTTTTTGATTGAACAGGCAGCAGTGACTAGTGTTCTGTCTTCTGGTCGCTGCTCTAATTTTTTATATAGTTTTCTTTTTTTTTCATGTTTTGTTGGGAAGATAACAGTGACCTTTTTTTTCATTGAACAGGCAGCAGTGACCAGTTTTCTTTTTTCTTTTTCATGTTTTGTTGGGAAGATAACAAACCTTCCTTGCAAGCTTTACTTTTAATGTGAGGAAAGGGAATGGAAGAAGTAGAACAGAACAAGGGAGGGGAGCAAGCAGCAAAAGGGCAGAGAACTGAAGGGATTGTGAGCCTAGTGACATTAGCCATCACCCCCCCAGTTTGTGGTGCCCGTGGTGCCCTGGCATGTGCTGTGGCAGAAGCGGGTCTGCAGGGGTTGGCCTGAACCAAATGTTCATGTGTCTGTAGAAGACTGGTGATTGCTAGTAGAAAATATGCCTGTCAATTAAAGGCACTTTTACAGGTAAGAGCATCATTGATCCAGGAAGACAACGAATGGGTTCATTTCAGTTGCTGCTCTTGGTGTATTCGTCTTGCATAGCAACGTTAGCCATGAGGCACTGAGGAACCTATCTGACTTACAGCTGGTGTAACAGACTGATATTGCCACGGGGACTGTGTGTTTTCAGATGCAAAATCACACTGCTCTGTTATTTAGCTGGCATAATCCGAGCCCCGCTCAGTGCCTGCAGAGGAAGTGTGACTGCCTTGTTCCTCGACGCACTTATCAGCACTTGCATGGGAAGAGCTTGCTTTTAAATCCTCTGCACTGAATTTTGTTTATGCAATTTTTAACTACACACAGAGCCAAGGCTCCACTGCAAGTGACATAATTTCACTTTGCAAATCAATGAGCTAGTGCTAGGAGGGCAGAAATGTCTTGCCCATGAACTTCACGTTGTTCAGAGCTGCTGATCCGACAGCCCTCACTGATCTCTGTCCTCCCAGAACAAATCCATGCCAAATGTCTGAACTCCCTCATGGCCCTCTCCACCTAGCCGGGCTGTTCCCTGGTGCGAGCCCCGGGCTGGCTGAGTCTCCGACCAGCAGGAAGGGAAATTTGTCCTCTCCAAGTAGAACCACTGCTTGCAGCCCAGTCTCTCCCTGGAGGATTCTCTATTTGTTCAGGGATGAGTGTTTCAGAAGCAGTGGAAATGCTAATGC